CCCCCCCCCCCCCCCCCCCTTTGTACGTCATATCTACCAGAATATGAAAGAGCAACTGACCAAATTCTGGGCGGAGCAAATGCAAGAGGTGAGAGATTACAGAGAGATGGAAAAAATGGTAGCATGAAGCTGCTGTGCTTGGGTGTGGTCTATCTTTTTTATTGTTAGCATCGATCGTGCTAACCGGGTGAGCATTGAAAAGACGTCAGTCTGAATGCGGCCGGCAACAAAGAGCACTTCTAAAGGCTACCTTCATCTGGAATGCCGTGACGGGGCCTCACAGGAGAGGCTCGGCTGTTCTCCAGATGTGAAGACGGAAACGGTAGCACATGAAGAGAAATGCACGTGTCTACCGAGGCTTACACTTTTTAGTACTTTTCCAGTGTGTCTTTATTATTAGCATCGACCGCGCCAACCGGCTGACGAATGAAAATACATCAGCACCTGCGGGTAAATCACGGACTCTGGCAGGGGGCCGAAAATTCGAAAAGTGCGCAACGCGGTGAATGCGAGAAGTAGTGCCAAGACGAGTAAGTATCGCACAAGGGCTTTCTGAGACAGATACACCACAGCTTCTCCACATGCTCTCTCCCGAAGCTAGGAAGCCACTTGATGCAAAGAGCGAATGACGGCAAACTGAATATTTCATACCCAGGCCAACCATCTGACATGCAAGTCAAGCATTAGCATTCCATGAAGTCGGTCTCTTACCCCTTTCCCGCCACTGCTGTGGTTCACCAGATGAACGTGTTGGAGATCGGCACGGAGCAGGACTTCAAGAACCACAACGACCTGCCGCTGGCGCGCATCAAGCGGATCATGAAGTCCAACGAGGACGTGAGGATGATCTCCGCCGAGGCGCCGGTGCTCTTCGCCAAGGCGTGCGAGATGTTCATTCTCGAGCTCACCCTTAGGTACGCCGCGATATACTGCTGCGGGAAGTAATTGTCGATAGGATATGTTGTATAGGGCAGGGAAAAACAATGTTGAGCCAGCCACCTTTGGCAAAGGAGGAAGGAACGATTGGCCATCGGTGATGATTTGATTCTCTGGGAACGATGCTCCGTGCCCGCGAGGATGCGTGGTCAAAAGTCCAACCGCTCAAGGTATGCAAACATGAGTGCGCCCCTCTCCCCCCCCCGGCTGCCAACAGGTCTTGGTGCTACTCAGAAAAGAACAAGAGGCGGACGCTACAGAAGGAAGACATCCAGGCTGCCATCCGCAAGACGGAAATCTTCGACTTCCTTGTAGACGTTATCCAATAGAGATCGACTGCCGCTGTTTTGGTGGTGTCGTCGCCTCCGTGATGTTCTTTGTTGCTGTTGAGTGCCTTCTGCTGCTTTTTTTATTTTTTCTTCGTGTGTCTCGTCCCCTTATCTTCGCTTCGGGGGCGAGGGATGGTGTACGTACGTAAATGCCTAGTTTTCTGTGTTTTTTTTTGCGTGCGTGTGGGGGTGGCAGCGTGTCATCGCCGGGGTGAAGTATATTAGTGTGCTGTGTGGTCGTACGAAGGGTCTTGGGGGGGGGGGGGGGGGTCTTNGGGAGGTCTTTGCCAGGCCGTTGGTCGAGTTTGTTCGAGTTGTTGCCAGTGTTTGGTGCCGGAGGAAGGGAGGCGGGGACTGCTCACTCGCGTTCCAGACGTCCCGTGCTTGGCGCTATTATCTTAGAAGAACAGGCAGACATGGAGGGAGGAGGGTACCTGCTGCTGCTATGTTTGCGGTTCCAACGTGATCGTGTCCTATGGAGGGTGCGTGTTTGCAACATTGTCTGCCATTAACGTTCGTTGTCTGCCCATGTGATGATGGTGAAACTGCCTCAAGTTTGCTCGTCTAGAGGGAACCCGCATCAACATTTTAAAACGCACAAGTCTACTGTACAAGGCGCCTAAAAGAGTCTATGATGATTGATGATGCTGACGTGCACGCGCGGTACAGCGCCGCCGTAGTCCGACAGCCATACACACGCGCTGTCTTCCGTGCGCTGTTGATTGAAAGCACGTACTACGTACTTCGTACAATTTCCGCACTGGGCTGGTCTTGTGGGGAGGATGGAGGGAAGAATGGAATCGCTGTCGCCATCTTTACCTAGAATCACAGCCTGCATCAATCGTATCTCTTTACTTTCGTGTACCCCCCGGCAATCGCTTTTCACGCAGAAGAACAACTCGGGCAGAGTCATGTGCATAGTCTACATCAAACAAGGTTTATTAACAATTCGTCGATGAAGATATATTGAAGATGTGAAGGACCCTCATCAGAAAATCACCAGAAAACCAAATACTTCAAATATGACATAGACAGCAAGGGTGCGTCGGCTGTGGGCGTGAGTGCCGTGGTGACTCCGTACATTATCCGCGTTCTCAAAATCAAGGACTGCCCCGAACATAGCACACACACTACATAGCAGTAGTAATTGCGTGGTACTGCTGAAGTGTGTGGTCGTGAGGTGTGGGAGGGCACACTGCGCACCGAAGGGGCCCCGCAGTCGTCGCTTACCCAACAACTGCTGTCATGGAGGCGGCGTCGCGGCGGCAGGCGCACGTAGTTGAAGCCCGGTGTGTGTGTTTTGTAGACACCACACACAGCAACACACACCTCCAGCGGTTGTTTCTCAACGACAACCAACATCACCATCGACCGTGGAGGGATCTCGCTCTCGTGCTTCGCGCAACCACAACCGCGGGGCGTCCGAAAACACCTGTCTGTAACGCGGAAACTTGCAGTCCCGGCGAGTCCGACACGGTTCAGCATTCATGAAGGTCAGTCCAGTGCTCCATGCCTGGAGCAGCGGCCATGTTGTAGTTGTAGATTTGGCCCTGTCCAACGGCTGGTATGTGTGTGTGTGCTCCTGCTGCTTGTCTTGTTCATCAAAGGGCGAACTCGTTGTGGTGGCGCAGCGCTACTGCTGTCAGCAGATGTGTACAAGCGCACACATAGTTTCGGGGATGGTTCACGTGAAGTTTATTTCCAGTTTCAAGAAAGGTTCCTTGTGCACCAGCAGCAGCAGCAGCAGCGCAACAAGATGAAGCTACGGGCACACGCCCACGTGTTTTCTGTCTACCAGACCATCTCGACACACCTTCACACCACTTCACTTCACCTCCCTTGTTAACATGGTGAGATTTTTCTTACGAATCGCTCCTTCAACCACTCTTGGGCGACAGTCGTGCAGCGAGTTTTTTCTGCAGCAGCAGCAGCCGCAGCAGCAGCATTGCTTTCTTCGGCAGTCGTTGTACTTGAAGTCTTCCAGAGAGACTCGCTTCGTGAGGGGAGTGTAGAGGCCAGCCCCACAACAGCAACGCTGTTCCTGCCGGCCCTCCCGTGCTTCATCCCCGGCGCTCACCCGAAAACGCCGCTCTAGGCAGCACGACGTCAGACGCAAACACGTCGACTTCACGAGCAGCAGGAAAGACCAGGCACCACCAAAAAAAAGTGTTTTCCGCTGTACGGCTGGTGGGGTCATCACACCGTCGTACAAGTGTGCGTACGCAGAAATTTGTTCTGAAGTCTCTTCGGACGGTGTATCTGTCTACAGCAGTACTGATGAAGTAGTGTCCAGAAACGTCCTGCCTCTGAGGATAGCATGTGTTACAAACAATGAATGTACACGGCGTACGTACATGTGTATCCAAGTAGATATTTTCACTTGGAGCGCACCTGTTGATCTTCCGAGAGAAAAGGCACGCACGCACCGGTCAGAGCTAAACACGGGTGGCGTTCATCCCGTTGGCGGTGGGCGTTCTATGTTTCGGTATCCACAAAAGTTCCTGAGATATTGGATTGGAAGGATCTCCGGCAGCGACGGCCTGCAGAGAGAGAAACAGTCTCGAGGATCCATCGGCGCGTTTTCCTGCTGTTTTGTCCGTTGCGACTCGTGGCACAGGCACCACCGCCGTGGATGGCGGCGTAAAGGAACAACGAACAAATAGCGCCATGGCCGCTTTGTCCGTGACCGAAAGGCTGTATGGACACACATTCAAACTCCCCCGCCCCACCCCGACGCCGGTTTGTTTGTTTTTTTCTCCCACAGAACATGCAGTCGCAGCTGAACAGATTCTGGGCGGAGCAGATGCAAGAGGTGGGTGTGGGTGCCGGGGTATCATGTTGGATAGATACAATGTAACTCCCGATTGTTGAGAGCACCTCGAGAGTGTACTATACCCGTTGCGGTTGAAGGAGCAGAAGCCGTTGAGATGCATAATAGTATTATATAGTTGGTTCCGCCACAACCACAACAAGAACAACAAAAATGTTGGAGAAAACAAATTTCAAATTTGCTTGAAAAATTGGGGCGGTTCATTTGCCCGAACGCGTTCGCCCCTCGCTTTTGTTTTGTCCCGAAACTTTAGATGGAAACCTTAGAGATCGGCACGGAGCAGGACTTCAAGAACCACAACGACCTGCCGCTGGCGCGCATCAAGCGGATCATGAAGTGTGACGAGGACGTGAGGATGATCTCCGCCGAGGCGCCGGTGCTCTTCGCCAAGGCGTGCGAGATGTTCATTCTCGAGCTCACCCTTAGGTGCGCTTTGGTGCTGCGGTGTATTCTTGGTGGTGCGGCCACCGAGTCTGAAGGCGTACTGCTGCGCCATCTTGTGCCGAAAAGCGCCCGTCTCTTCTGCGCTCGCCTCGATTCCTAGTCTCACGATTAAGGCAAGCATGCTTTTCGCGCATGTTAGAAGTAACGGAGCCAATCCTTCGATGTAGATGCCCTGTGATCCGCACACCGCCATTTGCAGGTGTCACACCACGCCGACAGGAATCCCTTTCAAAATATCGACCAATCAGACAACTGCGGGCACGTTTTATCTCTCTGATTGGTCGACGTGTGCACACGCCACACCGTGTGGCGACTTCTCATTAGACTTGTGAAGTCAGGTCTCTGTCGTCAGGTTTTGTTTTCTACCGCGGCACGCATTTTTTCGGTTTTTGTGTTTTGGTTGGTGTTTTTGCTTGGGAAATCCAGCCCGGTTGGCCTCATCCCCGCTCAGACCACGGCAGCAGTAGCTGAGTTGGTGACCATCATCGCGTCCAAGGTACCTCATCAACGAAGGAAGTAGACGTGGGTATCGAGACGAAGGGATGTCAACCAGAAAAAAATGTATCACAGAATACCCTCGTGGAAAGAAACACATCTCTTCGTTATTGCTAGTCTCGTGTTTCTCCCGTTGCCAGGCATGTTTGCGGGGCATCCCTCGGTGACTTTTGCAAGACTAAACGTACGGCGCTTGTATTTCTTCCCACCCCCGCTACATGCATCCACCTGCTTCCTTCGATACGTGTCACTCTCTGGCTTCGTTGGCGTTCCTTCTTGTTCGCCCGTTGCCCTCGCTCGTTCGCCCATGTCTTCGGAGTGTTCAGTGTTTTTGTTGCCGCCGCAGCTCACGGCCACCTACAACTTGTTTCATCCTCTCTTACTTGTTTTGTAGTTGAATTATGTGTTTCCCTTCGTTGTTTCTTGCTGCTGCTGCTCCTGCTGCTGCCGTCGCCGGCCGGCACATGCGACAGGTCTTGGTGCTACTCAGAGAAGAACAAGAGGCGGACGCTACAGAAGGAAGACATCCAGGCTGCCATCCGCGAGACCGGTATCTTCGACTTCCTTGTGCACGTCATCGAATAATAGGTTGAGGGCAAGGTTCACACCAAGAGTGTTGGTGATTTTTGTACCGTCCGTTAGGAGCGCTGGCCGGTTCTTTGGGAGTTCGTTTGTGTTTGTCGTTGGACATGGGCCGTGGTTCTTGTGTATTGATTGTTCTGGGTCTGCGCACCCCCCCCCCCCCCCCCCCCCCCCCCCCCCCCCCCCCCCCCCCCCCCCCCCCCCCCCCCCCCCCNCGGGGAGGGACGGCTGCTGGTGGGTTTGTGTCCCGTGTACATAGAAAACAGTGTAGCGTCAATAAATGCTACCTCTGACGCTGGAGTTTTGAGCGGGGGGGGGCAGGGAGCGTAAGGTTGCCCCTTCCCTTGGCGCTGATTGCCATGTTGGTTGTCCCGCCGATGACTCTTGTGCCGTAAAATTTTGTGCGTGTGTGAAGAGGCCCTTGTCGTACGCGGGTTGGCGTGACGTATGGAGGATAGGTCCACGGGACCGCATTTTGCGACGAGCACGGGCGGCAATGGTTAAGATAGAGGATTATTTTTTTTGTTCTTCCCTGCCGCTTGCTCACGGTTTCGTGAGAAACTGGCATCGGCCCGGTTCAGGATAGAGCTCCCCTTTGATCCGGCCGAAGGTAAAATCCGCGTTGTTTTGGGCTCTGGGCGTCCACGGTTGATTGATTTTTCCTCGTCGCACGCGGCATATTGATACACACGCACCCTGTCGTGCCGGCGCACAGGGTGCTGGGTCGCCGAGTACCTTTGCTAGAAAGTGCTGGCAGAAGAAGCTATATCGTACGTGGGTTTTTTCGGAACGAATCTTGTGCCGATGTCCTTCGGTGTCTGCGTGTTTTGTTCTTGGTCGGTGTGTTTTCGAGTCTGGTTGTGTGTTGCGCCCTCTCCGTCGAAAACCTCCGTTCCACCAGAACGAGCTCCTGAGGGGTGGCGGCTTGTCAATTGTGTAACGTGGATCTGGAGCACAGGCAAGCCGGGGCCTTCCCGACAGATATATAGCGCGACACATGTATATACAGCGCGATCCTTGTCGGTAGTAAACTATCCAGCCGACCTTCCTCTCCTGTGTAAAGGTGCGGCTCTAGTTTGGTGTCTTCACAGCAGTTTTTCATGAACTCTTTCCGATGAACGTCTTTCCACGACGGATACCTCCATCCTAGGACGGGACGAGTGGGTGGAAGAAGGAGTGCACGATACGAACGGGCACTTGGTAGGACAAGAAAAGACAGAACACTTATGAAAATGAAAACATTGCAAAGTGAAAACGTCGTATTATTTCAAGCTTGCGGGTGAGAGGTGGTTCTTTGATAACTTGCATCCACTGAGCAAACCGGTTCAACAACAACAAGACGCCTAGTCTTGCGTACTGTGGTTGTGTGTTGTGTGGCTGGCACAAACATTTCGACGGACCCTTCCAAGTGTTCCCTCGTGTTTTGATGAATAGTGACGCGGGATGAAATTAGCGCACACCCAGCTGTGCCCTTCGTAGCCCATCCGATCCACAGGCACCAGCGATTGCAAGCAAGCCAACCCAACCTCTTGCCAAAAACTGTTCCCAAGACAGCCTTGACAGAGAGACAGCAGGTTACACCTGAGAGCAAAAGTAACAAGTCGGCCAAACCATGTACTCATGTTTGTGGACCTTGCAACAAGTGTGTAACCAGCTCACGATCAAATGCAAACCGGTTATGGCCGGTGACCAAAAGTTGGAGGTTACACGATGGCTACTGTGGCCTTCCCCTAGTCTGGCCCTACTGGCGAAATGCTTGCCTGAGCAGGGCACCCAGCGCCCCCAACCCCATCCCTTCGTAAACAAGCACGCGTGATTATGAGACTGCGGGGCCCCCGCCCCTGCCGCGTAAGTTTCACTCTCCTCCGACCAATCATGTTTGTTGTTTGGGTCACGGTCGTTTGTCGTTTGCTAGTGCCGTTCGCGAAGGACGTGTCCTGCATCACGTCCTTGGGTGCAGGGGGAGTCCCTCCTCGCAACCCTTCTCAATACTGTCGTTTTACCGCGAAAAAAAAAACGGGCTCGGAATAGACAGCAGTCGTCGGCATGCTGATGTCCCGAACTGAGACAGATAATAAATGTGTGACAGGGCATTGCATCTTCAGGCAAAGTGGGCCGACCCAGACGTGACGGTGGGAAATTTCCCCGAAGCTGTTGTCACTGTGTGTGTTTGCCAAAGCAACAAGCCCGGAGTCGGAGACACGATCAGTCGTGATTTTCAGCCGAATAGATAGGTCGTTGACCAACCTCCAGCGTACGATCTTCAAGCAGAGCAGAACGCGCGTACACTGCTGCTGCTGCTGCTGCTGTCCAGAAAAAAGGCACAACCCGTCAAGTTGCCTCGTCAAATGCACCGCCGCCGCCTTGGTTAAGTTCCCCTTCTCTAGACACGGGAAACCTCAAGACGCTTAACTCTCTCCCGCCTCCTTTCAACAGTGGATAAAAGATGCAAAACTCCGACTCCAAAGTACTCTCGCGTGTGCTACACCCCCCCCTCCCAAAACGCACACCACCATTACCAAAGCTCTGTCCACCTACTATGATCACCATCATGACTGCCATCTTTCCGAGAGATAATCAAAAAAGAAAACGAAATCGTCAGGCAACAAACCACCACATGAAAACAAAAAAGAGAAAGGGTAGGAGAAGGAGTTGGGGGGGGGGGG